GAAGCACAATGGAGAGCGGGACGTCGCTATGACATCTTCAAGTACTAGAACTGGAGATTGTGTGGATCTGTTGATATTGAGGGAAGGATTCAAAGCAAAGAGGTCTGAAGGTAGAATCTTGTGCAAAGTGTGTCCACAAGGATCGGTCAAAGATCGATCGATCACGCACAACGAGAGTGAGCTGCACAAGGTGTCTGTATATTGGAAGTTGGTCAGCATGTTTCCCTCTAGAAAGGAAGACGTCAAGGCAATCGTATATTATCAGTCAAAGAGATCTAGGAGGAAAACAAAGCTTTAACACTTTGCTCTACCATGCGTATCCGAGGGGACTCATGTTCCTGTTGTATATCTTTGACATGTTGATGGACATCCGTGAAGGAAGTAAAACGAGCAATTTCGTCCTGGTCAATCTGTGTGCTTACTCGGCGGGTCTGATATGGAAGCTACATAGTGGTTAATTGTACTACGACTCATACTGGAGGGACGAATCGAGGGATATGCGGAGGAAGGGGCGGAAGTGGTACTCGTTCGTACATCATGTTTTGCAGCTTGTTGCAATTGTTGTAGCTGTGGCCGAACGGAGGGTTTTTGGCTCTCCAAGAGTCGCATCGCGAGGTATACCTCCTCTGGACTCGTCACTTGAGCTAATTCACTGCTATGGGTTTGAAACCATTCGCGGAAATGATCGAGATTTTCTTGTGCTTATGCGCGCGCTCGGATGTACCTTTTCATACGTTGTGCCCTGCCCTCGCTCCTAAAATATGTGTTCACGGCTCTTGATCAACGCATCATTGGTCAGCTGCAAATTCCTACCCATCGTGTTTCTCAGCCGTTCCTGGAGTGTCACATCATGGTTGGCTACGCCGCGTCCGGAGTTCCTCTTGACTAACGACAGCAGATGCTGCTGACCTGCAGGCAAGATACCTGCAATACGCTGGACGAGCTCACGTTGTCCGAGTACGGCGTCTGCTGAAATTGTTTACAGTCTGTCGAGAAAAATGTACCAGGCAAGACTGGTACCTCGTCTCGGACGGCTATATAAGGCTACATAGGGCTGCATCAGGAGGATGCAAATGTGTGCTTTTGGATCCATGGCGCGACACAGACAGGCTAGATACGTGACCCTACAATGGACGTAGTAGAATGGCTTGTGCGGTCCACGTGGGCATGACACCGGTCTTCGTAATCTCCTCTTCGCCTATCCAGAGGTCGGACAGGGCCATCTTCACTGCTATATTATTACATTCATCGATAGAAGCCGGTGGTAGAGCATCATGAGTGTCGGCATCGAAGCATTTCACGTCCATGCGTCCGTGACTCATGGGAATCTTGATGCGTAGCACCAACGAAGTCGTATCGTAAGGCCATCTCACATGTTCTTGCACTCCTTCCTCCGTGAGGATTCCTAGGATTTCATCTTGGATGAAACGTAAATATGCATCGAATGGCGAGTTCTCCTTCACCTTCAAGTACAGATAGGAACGTTCGCTCCCTCTCACGAGGCCCTCTTTGGCCTTCTCGCAGAACGGCGTGCACTTCGTCTCCCGAAACATGGTCTTTCTGTTGCGTATCAAGATCCGCGGACTCTGGCGACTAGCGGTGTGTATGAGAGTGCCCATGTTTACGTTTCGTGAATATAATCTACATGTCATCGTGATCGCGGTACATTAAGTCTACAGCTCTCTTTTGCTCCTCCATGGCCCTCTTGTAGCACATCTTCCTCCATTCCATACCCGAGCCCGAGCCTTCCGGTCGCGCTAGCTGGAGGTCCGGCATGAATCTGCCCGGCGTGTGCAATACGTGCACTCGCAGAGGCATGTCCTCGTCCACGCGCGGGCTCTTCGCGTTGACCACCCTAGATATAAGGTGCGCGTAGGTAGCGCTGCTGGCCGGTGACAGGACGAGGAGATCCGTCGCCTTGTGGAGACTGCAGCCGTGGCCCATGCTCGTCTGCGTCAAGATGATCCCCTTTCGGACGTTGGGGTCTCTGGTCTCCGAGTTGAAATACTCAACGGCGTGCCTCATCTGATACCGATTCCCGCTGAGCTGCTTGGCTTGAAAGATTCCTCCCTCGCGGCCCATGAAGTACTCCAGATCCATGTCGAAGCGGCAGCGGAAGGACAGGGAGTGGTCGACGTAAACGATGACCTTCGCGTTCGGACGGAGCCGAGACAAGATGCGCTTGAACCAAGCGTAAGGCCTGTTGTCCAAGTAGCCATGGGGAGCGAACGACACGTTCATGGGGGTCTGCGGATCGACGTCGTCAAACACCTGCTTTATGCCATCAGCCGCACGGATGTTCTCCCGACAGATAGGGCACGTGCCTATGGTCGCCACCACCTCTCGGGAGCATGCCGCGCACATCAGTTGGAAGCAGCATTGCATCACGCATGCGGACGGCTTGTCCTGGAAGCCGTTCCAGCACACCACGCACGACGCGTGCTTCCACCCCCTTATCCTCATGCGTGCGTCTGCATTATTGCAGAGGGACACGGCCGACTCCTCCGACACGACCTCTGCCCCGCCCTCCAGCAGCAAGTGGATGGAGTCTTCGGCCCCCTGCTTCGGCTTCTCCAGCCGGTTGGCTCTGTACCTCGCCCAGAGCTCCTTCCCGTTGTACATCCACGAGTCGATGACGGAGTCACCTCTGCAATAATATATGGTGTGGTGGGGGTACTCTGCGCCAATCGAGCGAGCTATCTCGGCGCTGGAGTGTCGGACGAAGTATGGTGTCAGGTCGTCGATCCAGCCGAAAGCTTGAGAGAAGGTGTTCTTGAACGCTCTCGGCCGCTTCTGGTCCGGACCCACCGTGTCCGGAATCTGAAGATATACCTCCGGTTGAGGCTCGATCAGCCAGGTAAAACAGGATTTCAGGCGCTCAGTGTTGGAGACGGTCAGCTGCGAGCAGTCATCGAAGAGCCCTGGACCCGGGAGTCAGAACATTCCTGACCGCCTACAGCCCCAGCGAGGCATACAAATTGGGCGATGGGTGTGTGCAACGCCTGTTCTCGTTGGCTATCACCTTGGACAGACTACTTGCTTTCGAGAAGCGCATCCCGAAGGATCATCGAAGAAAACAAAGAACAGTGAGATTGAGAATCATCAAGACACGAAGAAAGATAGCTCATCTGCGCGACGAGATGCACTACAAGGTCGCGGACTTCCTCACACGAAAAGCGAAGATCATTCTGTTGCCGACATTCGAGACCAGCGAGATGGTCCGAAGATTTCAACGGCGGATCGGGAGCAAGAGCGTCAGGCAGATGTCGTTCCTGTCGCACTACAAGTTCAAACAGCGGCTGATAGCCAAGGCTGCTGGCAGGGGAGTGAGAGTCCTGATCGTTTCCGAGCATTACACGAGCAAGACCTGTGGCAGGTGCGGGGAAGTAAAGCAAAACCTAGAGGGTGCGAGGACCTTCAAGTGCGAAAGCTGCTTCGCAGTCATAGACAGGGATTGCAATGGTGCTCGGAACATACTACTTCGTGCGATACGAAGGAAGTGATTCGCCCCTCGGGGCGACTGCAAGATGGAGCCATGGCAGATATGTCATGCTTAGCCTGACAGACCACCGGACAATGGTAGAGATGTCACGGTCTGTTCAGTGACTGATCCATCGGTAGCTCTTCACTATCTTATCGAAAGTAGGCTGCGACACGGCCATACATATATTCTATGCAACGAATATATGCGTCTCGAGAGATGCCTGGAAAGATATCGAAACTCTCGGTCGAAAGATTGGTAGGGCAAGAACTGAGCAAGGCGCAATACAAGGCATTGGGCGATTCGATAGTCTGTTATATTACCAGAGTGTTACAGAGTGCCAGACAACAGGCCGTACGGCGCACCGGCAACGGGAACAAGCTAGAACTGACCGACCTACGAAAAGCTATGGATAGAGTCCTGCACTGAGTCCTGCCCTGCCACTATCCTCAGCAACTTCTTCAATCTGAGCGGTCCTAACGCGAAAGCTATCTCGCCACCCGACTTTATCGATAACACTCTCTCCAACTCCATCCTCAACCTGCGGCGGCTGGAAGGGCACCTGGCCTGCAGTAGGAAAGCCACCTCGTCCCAAAACTGGTCTTCCTCCTCCCCTCTCACGAAATCACCCGCGAGGAGCACGTCTGCAATGCGCGCCACTTCAGGAGAGACGGCGTAGATGTCCAGCACGTTCTCTTCCACGTGCTCTCCCAGGAACTCCAGGATGCGCTCGGTGACGTTGCAGACCTCCCGCACGTCCGTAGGCTCGTCGAAGCTGAGCACAAACTTCCGCAGCAGGCCATCGAAAGCTCCCACCTCTGGGAAGAGGAACATCATGATCCTGGAAACGATCTCGTTCCTGACGTAAGTGTGGGGGCTGAGCTCGCCGCTGTGCACGTCGCACCAATGCGGCCTGTCGGCACCGTAAGGCGTCACCTCCTCCACCGCCAGGATGACATTCCTGACCACAGTGTTCGTCACCTCGGGGAACTCTCCGCGCAAGAACCTGGCGTAGAGGCCGTATGCCCAGGGATCCAACCCGTCCCTCCCGTGGTCAAAGCTCACCAGGACGTGACGCTCGGTCGAGCCAGCGTAATGCTTTCGGACGGCATTCGCTCTGGACCCTATGAGCTTAGGGAGCAAGGTCCCCAGCTTGCTGCACTCGGTGAGAGTGTGAAATTCGCTGAGTGTATTCGCTTGGACTTCTAAGTCGCTGATGCGCGCCATCAGCTCGTCTATCAGAGTTGCCGTTGCGTCTGGCTCCATCGCGACAGTATGTCGATTTAGAAAGTGCCTGCAACTCCGAGCCTTTTATACTCTCCGCGTCCGAAACATCGCGCCCGAAACGAATCACGGTCTCTGCGCGCATCCACCCGAAAAAGTCTGACTGGCGTCCGAGAGTGCGTCCGAGAGTGCGTCGTGGTATCAGACTCGGACGTAGATTTCGGACGGCGTCACCTGAGTATAAAAAGGAACGACCTTGGTCGTTGGTCTCACACATTCCAATCATGGAGGTTTTCGTACTCACCACTGATGCCCGAGACGAAGACTTGGACGTAGCAAAGGCTACGGCCAATCACGAGCGCTTCAAGGCTTGCATTGACCACATCCAGTCCTACAAGAAACGAGGCGACGACGAGGACGATTACGGCGGGACGGAGGAGGCCTCGGAGGACACGGCGAAGCAGTGCTTCATCTACATGTATGGGCGGACGGCGGAGGGCAAGAGCGTGTGCCTGCGCATCCCTTTCTCCCCCGCCCTGTACCTGGAGGCTCCCGGAGGTTGGAGCGAGGCGGATGCCACAGCCACCGCGGAGAGAGTCTACCTGTCCATCAACAGGCGGGCTTACGGAGGCATCGCCAGAGTCACCACGATGCGCAGCAAAAAGTTCTACGGTATGCCTGCAGTCGTTCGTAGGAGGGAGTCCTCGTATAATCGCGCGTTCAGTAAGAGGAAATATGTGTGCTTGCCGATATCAGGAACCGTTATGGCCGGTGAGTACGTATTTTTGCACCAATCCTCTCTTCCAAAAAAGCTGGAAGAGAACGAGTGCCCCGCGTGCAGAAAGCAATCAGACCTAGAATTCGATGACGGACCAGGGCATTATGGATGTAGCAGGTGCCATACCGAGTGGAAATCTAGCGAATGGTTCGAGTGGAGTAGAAAGATGTCTTCTCTGCAGGGTACCACGGGGACGCGGAGTTCCTGTTCTACAAGCTCAATGTCACCTCGGACAAGGCGCTGAAGCAGTGTCAGTACGCCCTACAGAAGAAGCCTCTGAACCTCTGGGTGCTGAAGAGAGACCCGCATCGATTCGCTCTCTACGAAGCGAATGTTCCCCCAGTCATCCAGTTCTTCCACGAGACGGGCTCTCTGCCTTGCGGCTGGCACACCATCGACCTCGGAGGACGCAGGCCCGTCGACAAGGCACGGCAGGCGTCCACGTGCGACCTGGAATACGTCATCCCTCAGACGACCATAAAAGCCAAGCGCACCGAGGCGGGACAAGGGGCCGAGATCCCCCCTCTGGTCGAGTGCAGCTTCGACATAGAGGCCTACACCATCGACGGCTCGTTCCCAGAAGGTTCCTTCGAAGGCGCTAGGACCATCACAATCGGCAGCACCTTCAAGGTGTACGGCCAGAGAGAACCCTACCTGAGGCACGTGATCACGCTCAAGGACTGCGCTCCTATCGAAGGGGTCGTGGTCGAGAACTACGACTCGGAAGGAGAGGTCATCTTGGCTTGGCAGCGCCTCCTGCTGAAGGAGTCTCCGGACGTCATCTACTCTTGGAACGGCTACGGCTTCGATTGGAACTTCCTGTACAAGTCCGCGAAACGCGTGGGCGTCCCTTTCGACGTGGGCAGGCTGAAGGGAGTACCCAGCACCCTGAGCGAGAAGCAGCTGGAGTCAGCGGCGTTCGGTTTCAACAAGTTCCTGCTCGTCAGCATGCCGGGGATCCTGGACCTGGATCTCATGCAGGCCGTGAAGAGGTCTCACAAGCTGGACAGCTACAGCTTGGAAAACGTGGCATCCGTGACCCTGAACGAGCACAAGAACGACATGCCCATCCGCCGGCTCTTTGAGCTCTACGAGCAGGGGACGCCAGAGGGAATCGCAGAGATCGCGAGGTACTGCGTCCAGGATACGGCCCTACCGCTCCGCCTGTCGGACAAGCTCAACCTCCTCTTCGACCAGATCGAGATGTCCAAGGCCACCTTCGTGCCCATAGACTATCTGCTGCACAGGGGTCAACAGGTGAGTGCCCGAAATTTTCCATGAGCTTAATACAGGAAGCATGGCGTGCGAACGCTGCACCGGAAAGACTCGCAAAGATGCACACTGCAAGAGACGAGCGGATGGCGTGAAGATAGCAAAGACCGACAGGTGCATCTCGCACCAGAGGGGGGGTCCCGTACGGAAATCCAGGTCGGAAGTTCCGGTGACGTTCAAGCTGATGCACGTGCCCGGGGACGGCAGCTGTCTCTTTCACAGCATACTCTTGGCATCTCTAGCTGCAAAGGGCCTCGACGTGACGACGCTCAGCAGGTCGTACATCGTTCGAAACTCGAAGAAGCTCAGACAGGCTGCCGTAGACTACGTGATCCGACACCTCAGGACTCCCTTAGGGGGAATAAGAGGCAATATGACGGGCAGCGAGCTCATACTCAACGAATACGCGAGCAGCAGCGTAGACGGAGAGGCAGGCATCAAGGACGGACCCTCTTACAAGCGCGTCATGAGCAAAACCAGCACGTATGCCGGCAACACGGAACTCATAGCCCTGAGCGCGCTCCTCAAAGCGAAGATAGTCGTGCACGTCAGGACCGGTGGCGAGAGCGAATTCGACGCGGCGAATACGGGAGGACGAGTGAACGCATACCATCTACACTTTGACCCGGGCGCGAAACATTACATGCCATACATACCGAGGCCCACGATCACGCGGAAGACGATCAGGCTGGAACCCGCGAGAGTGCATGCGAAAAAGAAAACCGATAAGAAATCGTCGTACAAGAAGGCTCTATCGAACTTTTACCCAGTCTGATCTATTGTCCTACAGATCCGTGTCTTCAGCTGCATCCTGAACCAGACGAAGCGCCTGGGCTACTTGATAAAGACCTTCGACCGGGCAGCGGAGACCGCCGTGGTGGAGAGCAAGTTCAAAGATGAGCCTCCTCATGAAGCCTCCGCAGCTCCCGCATCATGCGTCCGTACTCTCGCACCAACTTCCAGTGACACAACGCGTGCCATGCATCTTCAAAACAACTGCCTATGACCTCTGCGAGATTGATGTTGGTCTTTGTCTGCCACTCTCTAGAACGATCGTACCGCCAGACGTAGATCGGATGTTGACGTATCTGATGCGTCAAGCGCACGATACGGTCCTCGAGCGAGGTAGCCATTTGTTTTCGTGATCTTTTTGTTCTTTCCTAAATAGTGCTCTATGTTTCCAGCACGGGCCACGGTACTCGAGGCGAAGACCGGCTGCTACATGGACCCAGTCGCGGTGAGACGTCATACTTCACAGTTGCATACTTCCCAGAGTATACTCCTTGCATCGTTGTCTTCTTGATTGATAGTCATTATTAGCAATGTATTCTGACGTTGTCGATCACCTTCTATTGTCCTCTTCAGACGGTCGATTTTGCATCACTCTACCCTAGCGTCATGCGCGCTTGGAACCTGTGCCCTTCGACGTGGGTCCTGGACAGACGCTACTCCAACATGCCCGGTGTGGAATACAAGACCTTCAGCTGGACCGACGATGACGGCAATCTTTGCGAGTCAACCTTCGTTCAGAGCCGCAAGGGAGTCGTTCCGGGTATGCTCGAGGAACTCGCAAAAATGAGAAAGGTAAGGGTCCAGAATATCGCCCACATATACAACCGTTTGTATTGCTGGGTCTCTGTTCCAGTCGTGTGGCACTGACGACGTTTATGAGGTCGTACTGACAGCCATCTTCTAGCTTTCCGCAGTGGGCAAAGAGGATGATGGCGGAAGCGAAGGCCGACCATAAGAGCTCGGAAGCTGCCGTGTGGAACTCCGCGCAACTAGCCTATAAGATTACACAAAACTCCACATATGGAGCCCTCGGGAGTGCTAAGGGATTAATTCCGGCCAAACAAATCGCGGCGACGGTGACGACGATCGGAAGGGGGATGATCGCAGACACCAAGGCCTTTCTGGAGCAGGTGAGATCTCAACTCTAGCAATACGATGCTATATTTTCTACAATCTGAGGCAATATTGGCTGAGATTGTAGGATATACTTACTCGAAACCTACCACATAGTCGCTGTTTTTATGCAGACATATCCAGGTAGCGCCACCGTATACGGAGACAGCGTCACCGGGCCGACTCCCACGACCGTGCGCGTGGACGGGCGCATCTACGTGGAGACCTTCGAGCGGCTCGCCGACCGCTGGGGAGTGGGGAAGTGGCTGCCTTGCTTCCACGACGAGGAGAAAGAGAGCTGCGAGCTCCCCGGCGTGGACGTATGGACGGACGCCGGTTGGACCCCGGCGAAACGCATCATCAGGCATTGCCTCGCGCCCGGGAAGTGCATCCTACGCGTGCTCACGGACGCCGGCATGGTGGACGCGACGGACGAGCACAGCCTGCTCGACTCCCAGGGCGAGGTCGTATCAGCACGGGACGTGGAAGTGGGGTCCGAGTTGCTCCACGCTCCGTACCCCGAGCTCGTGCAGGGCAGAGAGCGCATCACCCCAGAGAAGGCGATCGTGCTGGGCATGTTCTGCAGCGACGGGGCGCGCGGAAAGTACTTCTCCGCCGTGCCGGACGTCATCCTCAACGCATCCCTCGAGGCGCGGCGGGCATTCTGGGACGGCCTGTACGGCCTCGAGGGAGAGGAGATCCACATCGAGCACAAGAGCCAGGTGGCGCTCGCGTCCTACGCTCTCTTGGCTGCGAGCTTGGCGTTCAGCACGAGCTTCGACGCTCGCGTGGCCAAGCCCGATGCATTCCGTCTGACCCTAACAGAGAGGCCGCAGCCGAGAGACGCGGAGGCGGTGAAGCGCGTCGTTCAGGTCCGGTACGAAGGCTGGGTGTACGACCTGACAACGGAGAGCCACCGCTTCGCAGCAGGAGCCGGCCGGTTGGTAGTCCACAACACGGATTCCGTCATGATCCGCTTCGAGCCGGGCGCCACCGACCCCGGCGTCCTCGAACGGTGCATCAGGAAGGGGGAGGAGGCCGCCGAGTTGGCCACGAAGAAGCTCTTCAGGGAGCCCATCGTCCTCGAGTGAGTCCCTTGCGAGATTCGGGGTGAAGCTACTCGTCCTGGCATGCTTTTTTTTTCCCTTGCTCAAAGCACATGGATAACCCAAAAAGCCCCGGTTCTTGTTCCCTCATGTGCTTATGTGGCAATGATACCCGCACAAACCCGACATTATGCAATGCAGACTCCAACACCCTTCCTTTGATCTCGCCCTATGGCAAGGAGTGGAAAACGTTTCCTTGTCTTAGGGTGGCTGAATGTCATGAACAGCTGCCGAACATGCTCGATAACGTCCATCCGAAACAGAAGCCAAGCAGGTACAACCTAGTTCCCATGAAAGTAGGTAAAGTCGAGGATTGAGTTTGTACTATGCTTACACGTAACTTTTCACCCATTCGTACAGGTACGAGAAGGTCTTCTACCCCTTCATCCTGTGCTCCAAGAAGCGCTACGCCGGCCTGAAGTACACGGAGGTAGGCAAGCCCCCGGAGGTGGACGCAAAGGGCCTGGACTTGGTCCGCCGCGACAGGATACCCCTGGCTAGAGATCTACAAAAGACCATACTGGACAAGATTCTCTTCGAGAAGGACTTGCACGGGGCAGTACAGGCGTGCCGACAGACCGCCGAGGACCTGCTGGCCGGGCGAATAGGGCTCGAGAAGCTGACCCTGAGTCAACAGCTGAAGAGCACGTATGCGAACGACGCGCACGCGAACCTGATGGTGGCCAGGAAGATCCGCGAGCGCATGCCAGGCAGCGAGCCGAAGCCGGGCGATCGCGTGCCGTACGTGTTCATCGACATCGGAGACCCAAAGGCCAACTCGAGCGCCATGGCAGAGGATCCGGCATACGCACTCGAGCACGATCTGCCCATCAACTACTACCTCTACCTGAAGTCGCATCTCATCAACCCGCTGTCCACCATCTTGGACTTATTCGTGAAGAACGGAGGCAAGGCGGAGGACATCCTGTTCGCGGACATCATCAGGAAGTACAAGAATCACAAGAGCGGTCAGCGGCAGATCTCCAGCTTCTTCCAGCCGGTCTCGAAGAAGCCGAAGCGAGAGGTGTGGAACGATATGTAGTTTCAATTACACATTAAACAGGAACAGAGCATAGAGTGCGTATGAGGATCGTCCGCTACGGGTTCCTTCTCCAAACTCTTCGACAGGACCTTCGATTCTAATCTTGACAACATGCTCTCGAATATCCAACGAGCCGTCCTATCGTCCGCGCACAACGTGGGCTTCGTCCCTCCCTTTACTCGCATCTGAAACACCAGAAGGTTCCTCTCTCGCAAGACCGAAGCGGTCTCCCTACGCACGCGTAGTCTGCTCCAGCTCGGTCGCTGCGCTTGTACGTAATCGTAGAGGCTCGCGTGCTGGCCGTCTGGCGTCCGTCTGATCCGGTCGCGGGGCGTCTCATCATGTCGTACGCTCGAACGCAGAGCAGCTATGTCCCTCTTGTACCTCTCTTCGAGGGCATCTATGCGCGCAGCGGCGTCCATCTCGATTACTAGTATGAAGCTCGCTAGCGTTTCCTAAGTCGACGGCAGAGACACTTTTATTTCGTCCTAAAAATATATCATGATCCTATGCCTCGGTGCCGCGCCCCACGTTGCAATGCTATCAAGAACGATAGGTGCAGGTGCCCGAATCCCTGGATCGAATTCGTGAGCAAGACGGTTCACGAACGCCGATCGAGGAACGAGCCGAGATTGTCCCGGCAGCAGCTATCCGCGGCATACCAAAACGCTAGAGATAGCGGCTCGTTCTTGCCCCCCCAACACCTGCTCGACAAAGTGGCTCCGTGCAAGACGGACACGTTCAAGCTGTGCGCCTGGCGGACGAAGCGCAAGTTGCCTGGGGTGAAGTCCGTCAACTGGAAGAAGTTGACAGGCAACATCGCAAAGTCGCAGCTCGACAAGAGGATAGCTGCTTTCATCGAGCAAGAGGACAACGGACCCGGCGCATTCGCGACCCAGGTCCAAGGATTTGCGAGAGCTCTGACTATGCTCAAGTGGTTGGTTCCTCCTGTCACCAGAACTCTGGCAGAGATGAAGGACGTGGTCGCAAACAAACTCGGACGCGCTGACTTGACGGTTCAGAAGTATCTCGGGGCCGGCATAGCGGGCTCCGTGTTCGAGGTGAAGCGAACCGGAGCCAACGGTCAAGTGACGAAGGCGGTGGTCAAGATCGTGCTCACTCCCGATGAATTGGAATGGAGAAATTTCGAAAAGGAGGTCGGTCAACAGAAGCGTTTCAGGCGAACGCTCGAAAGAGGTCTGGAGACCAAAACGCTGCACATCCCCGAGGTCTACGACATCTGGAGATTGCCCGGAAATAGGGAAGCTGCCGTACTGATGGAGTCCCTCGACGGCACACTCGGTTCGTTCATCGGGAAGTATCGCCACAAACCCAGCTTCCTCCTCGAGATTGCCAGACAGATGAAACGCACCGTAGCTTCGCTTCATAGGAACAAGTTGGTTCATGGCGATCTGCACTGGTCGAATCTCGGCTACAAATCGTTTCCGAATGGAAAGGTCGAACTGTTCATCATCGATTTCGGACGCAGCTTAGGGCCTCTCACGCAGAATCAACTCGCAAACGTCGGCGACCTCGATCGATGGTGCGTATGGAGAGCGTCATGTAACGCGGGGACGGCATTTGCCGCGTTCAACAAGGCCTTGCACGAAGTGGGCTTTCCTGGGAGCAAAATCTTGGACGACTATACGAATCTGGGGAGCAAGCCGATCAACGACGGGAACAACCAATATCTAGTCCAGGACATTGACGCCAATTGCTTCGGCAGGTATTGGCAATTGCTGCGTTCTGTTGATCCCATGATGTAACATGTGCACCATTGAACGACGTAACGTCCACACATTGCAGGCCGAAGAAATAATTATGTAGAGAGATGGTACACATGGCGAACCTACTAACAGCCTACATCGACGGCCATCCGGAACCAGAGGACCTGGCGGAACGTGCGCTATCGCATCCAGCACTCCTCAATCTGGTGACATCGCAGATGGATGGGAGGACCGTGCACAGGATCGCGGGTACAAGCAGTTCCTTTCGCAGGGCATCAAGGCGGTATGATGGCGCTCAAATCCGCCACATTCAACGACTCGTCGAGGAGATGAGGCAGCTCAGGCGGGCATATAAGCAGAGTGACAGGCTGCTAGATGCAGCTTATACCGACAGGCAGCGTGCGAGAACCGTCATCCGAAATCCGATACAACAAGTAATTCCGTTCAACTTGAACCATTGGATGCTCTATACCTTAGCATACGCGCTGGCCCATCTGGCGATCCATCCTGCTGGCGAAGCAGCTGCGATCGTGAATCGTTTGGGTGTCATCGGGCAGGCATATTGGAGTGGAGTCCCGCCCCCGGGAATGTACACCGGAGGCAGGACGCCTTGGTCGCAACGAATGTTCAGAGAGCGTGGGTCCAAGATAAGGCGCCTCGTGGCGCTGGTCGGCCGGACTCATTTGAAGAGCATCGTCAGAAACGGGCCCGAGTGGCCATGGCTGGACGTGGCAGAAACGAACGCGCTCTTGCAGGCGATCCCCAACATTCTCGATCTGCAACCCTCCGTGGACAATATCGAAGAGGCTCAGAGCCGCATGAACGCGGCGCAACGCGAGAAGCGTCGTTATAGGACGGCCTTCCGAGAGAAGGAGAAGGAGCTGAAAAGAGCGATCGAACGAGCAGGGCTCCCGGCTCTCGGCCCGCCTCCGCGCCGCGCTTATATCGGCGGCGATCGCACCTATCGGGTTCCGGCAGCGCTAGCAGACCTCGGTCTCACCGCAGAGAACTTGCAAGCACTTCCTCGGACGCGGAGAGCCGCCTGTCTACGACAGGATTTCGAGCAAGTCGATCGTTAGATCATTTCGTCACTTTAGAGGTGGGAAGCCATCAAGAGAAGGGTGGAAAGCGCGCGTCCAGATCCCTCCGAATATTATAGGTGGCATACATCAAATATAGGCGGTCCTAGTCGAACAATTCCTCCAGCTTTATGTCCTCTGATAGGTTCTTCAGACTATTCCGAAAGGTCAACATGCTGTTTGGCTGATCCTTGTCGGTCCTTATCTTTTTCATGCGCCAAGCGTTGCTGCCAGGATGCCAGATGCACTCCACTATGGGATTCTTGCCTTTCCTGAGATCTATGTCCACTCTGGTCTTTGTGATCCCCGGTCGTCCTACCCCAGTTCCTACGCTGACCAACTGACCCCTATCCAAGACCTTGAGCTCGTATCTCGGAAACACTAAGAAGTCGACGGTGATATCCTCCTTCTTCTTCCATTTCAGCGTAGGTACTTGATGTCTCTGCAACAGAGGAACCGCGGGGGTGAAGAGGAGCCCGTCCGTCCCCGCCCGGTCGTACATCCGAAGGGCAAAGTCTTTGGCGTCCTTCCAGGGGAGCATCCGTTTGACCTTCACTTGTAAGCCGTCCAGTCGGTTCGCGTGCTCGTCCACCCATCTCCTCGCAGCATCCAGGCGGGGTAGGAGTTCGCTCACTCCCACAACCTGACCCGACACAACAACTGCATCGAAAACGAGGAATATTCGCTCTCCTATCAGTTCTCCATCCAGGACAGTGGCTCTGAATTCAGGACCTTCCGATGCATGTACTTTGGTCATGTTGTAAGCTCGATCGACGAGAGACACCGTCTCGCCCTTCGCACACAACAGTTTCCTGATGCCGTCCGTCTTCTCGCACACGAAGAACGGAGTTGTCCTGAGCATGGGCAGATGACGCCTCTCTACGTGCATGGCATGCAGGCCGGGCCATCTTTCGCAGGTGAGACCGACCGAACGGAGCAATTCCTTTCCTGCCATCTCTGAGGGAATGAAACCTCGAATCCTTCCTAAGTCGCGTCCTAAGAACCGTCCAAGGATATCGTCACACTACGGATGTTACGCAGGTTGGAATTCCTCACGCTAGAGTCGCGACCCGGGTTGTCGTCAGAGACCGAGATAAGCATTCCGTCGATCTCCTCCACGTCCGAGTTGTCGGTATAATCTGGATCATCCTCGTCTTCTTCTTCTTCGTACTCGCTCTCGTCCCAATCGGAAGGCAGCTCCTCGGCTTCGATACGGTCAGAGCGTGCGGGTTCGACCGGATGCGGCTTCGCATCCGCCTTCTTGAGGAAGAGATGTTCGGAGCGGCAGTTGGGGCAAGAGATCTTCGACCTTCCGGTCTCCAACCATTTGGTGAGACAGGCGGTGTGGAAGAGGTGAGCGCAGTCGGTCATCACGCAGACGTCTTCGCGAGAGAAGTCCAGCTTGCAGATCGAACATTCGGTGATCTCATCCAAAGCCCTCGACTTCTGGAACCTCTCGAACCGGTTGACCTCGAAGGAACCCGGGAGGCGGACGAAGGTCCAGCCTCTCCTCACCATAGCCTCTGCCCTGCCTATCAATTTCTTCACGTACTTGTACTTGTCAGCGTCCGTCAACGCCTGAGGGAACGAGTCCGACACCAGACTGAATTCCCGGTTGGCTAGCTGCCGCCTGACATGCAGGAACGGGCTGCAGAGCCCATCGATAGAGACTGGCTGATGCAGCAGCTCTATCCCTGAACGCCAGAAGTAGAGCATGTTGCAGGTGAAATCGTGAGCTATGCTCACAAGCTCCTCTCTCTTCTTTATCGTGATGTCGATTTCGAAGCTCATCGTGGACTCCCCTTTCTTCAGCGTCACCCTATGCTTTTCGTAGGACACCCCTTTCCCCATGAAATCGTAATTCTCTTTGCCCGCCAACTGTTCCAGAGAGAACTCCGTGGACAGAAACCTCTTGAAAGTCACTGCCTTGTCCCTGCACGGCATCACGATGTCCAAGTCTCGAGGCGTCTCTCCGTTCATCACGTAGTCTCGGACGTAGCCTCCGTAGATGTATGCATCCTTGAAACAGTGGACCACGTCCACGACCTTGTTCATTGCTTGCACCCGAAGGTCCGCGGCCCGCGACATGTCAGAAGAGAAACCCTTCAGTAAGGAAATTAAATTTTAGCACTTTTCGGACGCGAATGCGGTTGGGTCATGTTTCGGGTCTCAACTCGGCCCTAAGTCGGATGGCGTTCGAAATGGTCCAGACCCACTTTCGGATGGTCGTCAGACCAGCGAGCGTCCGAGAGTGGGTATATATAATCTGCATTCGCCCTTCCCTCCGTCATTCCGAAATCATGAGGACGAAAACCACTGCCAAGAGGTCCCTAGACCTCGAGCTGAAGCACTTTGACAAACGCCACAAGGTAGAACCTCAGACGCTGCGCATAGATGGCGACCTCTTCTCGCTCTCCGCCTTGCAGAGGACGCTCCAGGACCTCCAGTGCGTGTTCTGCAAGGAGTTCTCGGGCGGCCCCATCATGAGATTAGATTGCTCCAATCCAGAGTGCTCCGCTCTGCAGTACTTCTGCAGATCTCACATGGAGACGCCCTCGTTCCGGTGCGACATCTGCTGGTGCTGCCGCAGAGGGGGTTGCAGGGCGGCGGATGACCACGGCGTCACGAAGCTCTTCAAGCGAACGCTCTACACGACCTGCGAGAAGGAGGGGTGCCTGCAGCTGATCATCGCAGACGACTCGGAGACCCACCTGCAGAACGAGTGCACGGCCAACTTCACCACTTGCGCCGAGATGGGCTGCAACAAGAGGTGAGCTTCGCTGAACATACCCTCTGCGGTCGAAAGGCGGTAGCAACTATCTAGATGGATGAGAATAGGGAAGATGGGTTGTGATCACGGGGAATGGAACATCACCTGACAGGTGGAAAACACCATACAAAGTGTGGTCAAAGATTATCCAAGGACACTAATCCTTACCAAGACCTAGAACAGCTTCGACAGAGAATATCGGAGTTGGAAACTGGCATCTCAGCATCGAATGATAGAATTCGCAACCTATGCGAAGTGCTAGGCAGTCTGATAGAGAAGCTGGGCATGCACTACGCTGGAAAGCCTGCAAGAGTATCTGAGGGAGCAGGACAATAAGTCGTGATTCCCTCTCGCAGGTACCTCGTGAAGGACGGGCACACGTGCGACTCGGTCGTCTGCGGCTTGTGCGAGGAAGTCCCGGGGTTCGGCCGGGTCGGGTGTGTCTGGAGGGGCAACAGGCGGGACCTCGCACGCCACGAGTGCGCGTTTCGGACGCCAGAAGCAGCGGCCCAGATGATGCTGGACTTTGCCAGGAGCGTCAGCACTAGGGTCCACAGCTTGGAGGCAGATGCTAGGTCCCTTCGCGCAGAAATAAATATTGTAGACGATGATGTAGATCTCGACTTAGACTACTCAGATGACGACTAGGAGCTAAGCGACTTGCTGTACCAAGACAGGGTTATGTGGGTCGAAGGAACAACCTATGTCGTGATTGTAAATATTTCCAGCCAACTGCCTCTGTGCCAAGGACAAGTCGGTCGCTCGCGGGTTCGCGAGCTCTCCTACTATCGCCGTTTGCGTCTGTTCCGTCATGGCCGCCAAATCGGCACCCGAACATGCAACCTGTCTGCATGCCCCCGAATCGGACGCTGGAATACGCATGTTTCTCGCCATGGCGTCAGAGTCCGAGCGCCGCCTCGTCTCCTCTCCCATTTGCCCCTCCGTCGTTGTGGTGACCCAGCCCCGATTCCCTCCTGTGGTCCTATCGACCTCGCTCACTCTGTTCCTAGCTAATGATATAGCCTGCGAGTCCACCCTGGCGCCGGCCCTAGCGTCGCTAGGGTTGCCCACGAAACTTGCGTTCCCATATGCATCTGCGCTCCTATTGGTCTGCTTGTACGAGCAAGAGTCCACCGGAGTAGCGCCCATCGCTATCTTGGATCTAGCCGGATTGAATCGCAGTTGAGAGCCGCAGTCGCTCCTCTGCGTGGAGTTGGCCTCTCGGACGGGGCCATCGCGTGCCATGCTCGCAGGCGCGATCCCTCCCGCTCGCGCCGATATACCCACTCCGTAATCGGCCGGCGGCCGTGAGTCTGCATCTCTGACGAGGTTGTCCACCTCCCTGCCCGTCACTCGAGAGATGCTGCCTGGGGGCGTATAACCCACTCTCTCGCTCGCATACACCTGCCCGAAAGCTACTTCACCGTTGGCGTGCTCCCTCAGACCCCTACCACCGCTCCCGCGCACGCTCTTTCCCTCCACGGTAGCCAGATATCCTCCCGGGTTCACCTGATTCTGGGCGGACAGGTTGAGAGTGTTCAAGCCGCTGGCATATAGCGCCTCCGACTCCACGTTCCTGCATTTCGCGACCCTACTCATCTCCTCCGACCTGCATGGCCCCGTCAGTATGTGCGAACGCGCCGTGGCTCCTAGCCCCGCCGTCTGCTCTCCCGCATAAGCTCGGTTGGTCCTCCGGATGTTCTTCGCATCGTCGGGCCTCGGCACGGCCGCCTTGGGAGCGCCGGCCACGATCGCGGGACGGACCCTGTTCTCGACCAGCAGAGCAGGCCGTTTCATGGGAATCTCCGCGTACTTGGGAGCTGCTTTGGCGATCGGATTCGCTCCGGCGTGGATCCGCTGGGGGAGTTGGTTGAGTTTGTATGCCCCCACGTTGTCGAGAAGGATCCGCAGCATGGGGTGGAAGCCGTCGTTCCCCACGGTGGCATCAGCCGAAATGCCTATCCCCGGACCCACCTTGGTGGGCTCGAAGGGCTTGGTCTTGTTCAGGTAAGTCGAGGTGGCGACCCTGTCTCGCAATTGCACGACCTGTTGCGCCGGTCGCCTATCCGGCGTAGGATCAAACATCCCTTCGGCTTCCGTCGGAGGCCCCTGTTGAGACCTGTCGAAACCCACCTGTAAGGGATCGGTGCCGCTGAATGTTTCCAGCCGTCTCTCGCTCAACTTCTCGCTGTATGCATTCTGTGCCCTGCGGAAGAAAGGCACCATTGGGCAGCCCCGTCTCTCCTGCCGCACCATGCGCTCTTTCGAAGCCCTCAACCCGGGCACGTGCCCCTTGACCACCCCTCCCGTAGCCGCGCTCGCATAGCCCGAGCAGGCTGGCAGTTGAGCTGCGCTCATCAAATCCGCCCTCCTGGCGAAATCCTTCTGACCCATAGAATAACTGCTGGGCTCCTGGAAAGCACCGGGGTACGAATTCAACCGACTCCCTGGCGGCGCCCTACTCCGGTCGTAGAGGAAACGCGCGGAGGCGGGGGACTTCAGATCGTCGTTAGGTCGAACACACTCTCTCGGGCTGGGCTCCGCTTCTTCTCTTTGATCATCGGCCATCGTGTACATTCCCAAGGCTGCTAGCGCTCCTACGATCAAGAGTTCCTCCATGTTCCTTTTGTATACACTATAAAAGAAAACGATCCGCAAGACGCTAAGATCTGAATACCGAATCATTGCCGAGATCAGCGACTGGATTTGTCTCCCCTACACCCACTTTGCCGGTGGCGAGGGGTGCCGCGTCCAGCCGGCGTTTGTACTCATTAACTCTGGCCCGGATCTGTTTATTCCTCGCCTCCAATTGCTCCAACTCCTGAGACAAGCGCTTGTTTTGGAAATCTCTGTACTTCCTGTGCACGTAGTCTTTGGAGTCCTTCAACGTGCCTTTGATCTCTTCCTGCCCCTTGCCCGAGTGCAGGTACAAGAATCCCAACATGGTCAGGATGACCCCTGAGACCAGCTGCACGATCGCCAGGTTTCGCAGTTCGTCCCGGACTTTGGCGAGAGCGGCATTCGTGCCCGCTTGCGCCTTGACGCGTCCGAATTCCACGAAGATCATGACGCTGACCCCAATGCAAGCCAGACCCACCAAGATCGCGATCAGAGCCAGGAAAAGCATTCTCTCGTTATATTGTACCGTTCAGAAAATCTCAGTGCAGGCACGTCTTCACCGAAGCTCGGTCCTTGTATATGTTCCTAGTCCAGAGCCCGGCGCGTTCGAATCGGTTATCCTCCTCCATGATGCACTTTGGATTCTGGATGTTGTGCCCGTCCACGACCCATTGAGGTCCGATCCTGCTCAGGTCCAAGCTGGTGGTCTCTCCTCTCAGAGAACCCCTGAACTTGGACTCGGGTGCAGGAACGCCCTTCGAAGCCCCTGGTGGCAAGACGAAGGGCCCGGTGTCGCGCAGCAATGCAGAATCGGGGACGATGCTGTCTCGCAGGACGTGTCCCGCTCGATTCGTTATGCCCCGCATGATGGACTCCTTGTCGATCTGCTCGCGCGGTGGGAATATCGCTTCGCAACCTATGCCAGGAACCGTGGTAGATAGTGGGCATGCATCCCTCGCATAATTGATCCTGTTCATCACGTAGAGGCCAGGAGCGAGGCTCTGTTGCAATTGATAATCGATGCTCTCCCTCAACGCCATCACTACATTCATCACAACAAAATTTTTGCACCAACTCAACGGATGAGCACGGTCGCCGACGGCCGTACTCTACCCATGTCGGCAGCGGGTCTCTGAGCCCGGCGAGTCGTCACATATTGCTTGTTTCTCTCTTCCACTCGCGTAGACACGCCTCCTCGAGCATGATGCTCGATCACTATATGATCGTAGAGGGAGCAGGGGCCATATTTAATGTCGGTCGGAGGGAGAAGATTTATGGTACCAAACCGTTCGTTGATCTGCCCCCTCTCCTTGATATCAGCGGGCTGTTTCGGAGCGGGACGGGTAAGCGTGCTATCTATATCGATCTTACTTATACGGCCTTCGTTGCCCCTATAAGTGGAGCGCTCGATCAATTCGGTAGTGACGCATGGTATCTTTGGATCATACGTGCTGAAAGGCTCACCAAAGCGCAATTTCGTTTCCGTATGAACGAGCGCCCCTGAAGGACGGTATTGCGAATCGCATTGCTCATAGACGTTGCGGCATTCCATGGCAGGACATCTCTGATCATACCTCTTACTGAATACGTAGTTGTAAGGGAACTTGGTCTGCGTCTCTCGCCTCTTCACGTAAGCACGGTCCCAGTTGAGTCGGGACATCTGATTGGCTACCGGGCATCCAGCGTCCGACCCCTGCTGTAGGTCACACACTGCCATCGGACACTATACATAGTCTCAGAGATTATTTACAGGCTTCTCTACCCGCTTCATCCACCGTATCCCAAAACGAGCCCGGACGGATCCGCTACCGTACTTTTTACTGTAGGCCCTGCCAGCCCTCAACCCTAGACGATCGAGCGACGTCGCGAACGTGTTCTGGTGCATCTCTATGCCAGTGTCTTTTGTGAAGCGCCGGAAGAGTTCGCCGGAGAGAAGGACGAACTTGTCGCTCTTCGTGCGCTCCGTCTTCTCCGACAGCCACTCTTTCACCACCAGGTCCGGCACGCCTCCTTCTTTCCTGTAGGCGAGGGAAGCGAATCAGGAGACGAAGAGAGCTTCCACGGGGACTGAAAGGCTTTGCAGACCACCGAAAGGAATCGAGCTGCAGACTCACGGCTGAACGACGAATGGAATCTCTCACCGCGCGTTGGGAGGTGGCTCGGAAGGCTCGTTCGACTTTGGTCTCTTCGGAGATCGCTCGGCGCTCTTGCCCCCTTCCTTCCTACAAGGTCGGTGAACCGAGTCAGCACGTGGTCACGGAGAGGAAGGTGTAAGCTCGACGATCGAGACCTGCTCCGAGGGCATTGGAAAGAAGAGTTCTCGAGAAGTCTTACCGCTTCGCTGGCACGGCGCCTTTTACCACCACGGTCGGTCGTTTTCGAAGTAGAACTTTCTGCAGGAAAAAGGATTGAGCGTTCAGATTCGAAGCAGCAGCAAGAAAGAAAGACCCTGAACATCCATCAAAGGCCGAGAGGTCGATATTCCAGACAGGGCGATCCTCAGAGGGATATCTACCTTTTGCGAAACCCGTTGCTCCGACGTCTTCTGCTTCCGATCCTCCACCGCGACGCAGCTCCACTCGCCGTCCTTGATAGACACGACGTATCTCCCTCCTGCATCGATCCGGCACTCCTCAGAACTCGATGTTTGCTACAAGACAATGACAAAAGTTCAAGATGAGCAGAGTCGAAACTTGCACAGAGCTCGTGGTGGCACTCGGGCGCATACCTGGAAACTCCCTCGATCTGAACTCGGCGACATCCTGTGACGGTGTCGCCCCGTCATTCAGCTGCTCGAACGGCACCCCTTGCACTCGTTGCTTGATGTAGCTCAGGGCGTAGAAACCACAAGCCCACCCATCGGTTTGGAAGACCCTCGTCGTCAGCCGCAACTTGTATTGCAGCCGGCTATCCTTCTTTGCTAGCCACTCTGCGATCTCCTTCAGCAGTTTCTCCATTCGTTCGTCAGGTGGGGACCCCATGCTATCGCTGTACTCTATCCACCCTTCGCTCCGATCGAGCAGGATCGCTACCCAGTGACCGGCTACTCCAGGCGGCTCTGTGTTTACGACGTACCCAATGAAGCGGTTGTCCCTCTGCACCGTCTGCCTCCACAAAGACTTGAAAAGTTTCTGTGTGTGCGTTTCCACGCTGTCCCAATCCAGACTGCTGAAACTCGTATCCTCGTCTTGTAAGCGGTACAAGAACGCAGCGATCGAAGGACCGTACAACCACTGACCCGGGTCCTCGAAGCAGACCAGTTCGCCTGCAAAATCCGAAGGGCATCGATTTGCAGCAGCTGAATTCCGTGCATGCTGCCCTGACTGACCACTCCACTGGTAGGAACGATGAGAACATTTTCGTGTTGGGCGTAGCTAGATGAAGGGACAGAATTCCGTCCTCTCACCTTCGTCATCACCAGGATATCTGAACGCGGCGTGCAATCTCGAGAGCGGCTGGACCTGCAAGTCAAGAGATGAAAAAGGCCTCACGCACAAACCACAGAGAGTCGAGAAATATCATGCGATACAATCCAAGACTTTAGGTGATTCGAAGATCGAGTGTCCTTCAACCCAGGGGCTCACCTTTTCATCCTCTACCATCGTCAGATCGAGAACCCCAGGCTTGTCAGTCGTCACCTTCGACACCAACGGAGCTTTCGTTCTCTCCCCCCTAACCTGCAATCGCCAAGGATTCCGAATCGTCTTCCATCTCTCGGCTGGATAGATTGAAACACTTACCGCAATCGTGGAGCACGAGTAGCCTCTCAATTCCAGCAAAGAAAAATAAGAAACACTCACAGCTCTCGCAGCAGGACGTCTGCCCCTCTCTTCTGCCGACGCTGCTCTCCTCTCCGCAGCTGCTGCTCGTTCCCTCTCTGTTCCCAACTCCGCCTCAGAAGCCGCTGCTCTCCTCTCCGCAGCTGCTGCTCGTTCCCTCTCTGCCCCCAAGTCCGCCTCAGAAGCCGCTGCTCTCCTCTCCGCAGCTGCTGCTCGTTCCCTCTCTGCCCCCAACTCCGCCTCAGAAGCCGCTGCTCTTTCCCCCCCTGCCGCCACATCTGCTGCGGCCCTCGCCAACTTTTCTTCCAGATCAGCTCCTTTGCCCTTCTCCGCTACCAAAGCCGTTTGTGCCTTCCACACTTCCCTTTTCAACTCGACAATCTTCTCCATAACCGTCTGAAATTTATGCTGCAGCAAGCGGAGGCTCCCTGCATAAGCTTCCAAACAACAACCAACTCAGAGGCAGCTGGAGAAAGATATCGGAAACATATGCGACTCCAGTTTCGGAGAAAAGGTATGTACAGAAGGGACCGAGAAATAGGCAACGCATACCTGAAGATCATTCTCCGTCACCGGTTCCGGCTTGACCGCGGAAAGTGAGAAAGCCTGTGGCAGAATAAACAGAAGGTTAACTTTTAGTCATACAAGCAGCAAGAATTGCTCAGAGATAGCCACTCGGACAGCATATTTGCTAGTTGCACTTTGTGGAGAAAAGAGACAGTTGTGGTGGAGACAGCTGAAGCTTACCTTCATATCTGACGTCAGATCCACTATCTCTGCTGGCACACTCGTCCTGTCCTGTAGCCTGCACCGCGCATCCCTCAACAGCTCCATGTAGTCCTTCTTGAAAATCAGTTGACATGCTGGTGCTGGTTCCTGGCAGATTGGACACACCCCCCCGAAATGAGTCCTATAACTCCCCAAGTAGGTCGCAAGGTCAAAACATCTGTTGTGTTCGCAATGTGGGCCTCTGACGGGTATCTCTATCTCCTGAAGAGTGAGAGGATCCTTCCAGATGTTGTCGATGCTTGCAAGATCGCTCAGCTCCTCCTCAAACCCCTCATCCACCTCCGGTTCATCTCCTACAAGACTGACCTTTGCCAGAGAGAGAATGTCCTGCACCACATCTTCGGACATACCAGTTTCCAAGAGTTTTAGGCTCGCTTCGACCTCATCATCTGGACAGAACTTGTTATGGTATTCTCTCTTCCGCCTGCAGCCCTTGACGGGACATCTGCCACCTCTTCCTTTGAGGAGCCCCTCCGAAAAGAGCTGACTGTGGGTGCACTTTTCCAGCTTGCCGAGCGGCGTCCCTCTACAGTAACTTGCCGAATTGACCTTGTCTAAGGGAGCATACTTGGCCAGCAGATCCTCCGGAGAGCGCCCTGGCGCAGCCATCCCGTCCTAACTTGTGACATTTGTTGCCCTTCAGTTTGAATTGTCTTTTCGGTTTCGCGGAAACGGTCTGATTCATTACCACACACGCGGCCGCGTGCTGAGATCGAAAAGACCGCCCTAGTTCGAACCCGTGCTAAACATGTGACGCGGCGACACGGTAACGCGTCGCAAATTTGGTGCTGAGCTGTCAACCAGTCAACTCGCACGTGCCTAACCTAGAGGAAAACGCGGGCAATCGAGCGTGAAATCGCGTCAGTCAGTCTAAAGAGGAGAAGATGGTTTGCGAATCTGGCAAAGAAGTGAGAAGGCTTATTAGCAGATAGAAGGGCGCCCTGAACTTGGGTGGGGTCATGCGCAAGTATTTATGCTCTGCTGTCAAGGAGCCTGCTGTTGAGGAGCATGCGGTCTTTGGTGGTTGGCTGGTAAGTTTGTTTGCCTCTGCTCTCGGTGTAGGTGGTGTCAATGCTGAGCATTTTACAATGTGCTGCTTTGTTTCATGCTATGCATGCGGGTTATCAACATACAGACCAATCCCCTCCGTCTCTTTCAGGATAGTCCTGCAGAAGAACAAGGAGCATTGGTTGAGGTAGGGCCTTATTTATGAAAATAACTCTGGTAATTGTCTACGGTAATGGTGAATCATCAGGCACTTGTTCCGTAGCAGGACTAGGCTCAGTTTGTTATAAAACCGCACGCTTGCGCTCCTACAAAGCAGAATAAATAGACAGCTGTGTGCTTACATTATTGTGGCCGGAAATGTTTGCCTGCTCTATCTCATCTCAGAAGTTTGCATCGCTTGTGTGGGTGGTGAACTCGCCGTTAACCCGGTCTCAGAAACCCTAATTTTGCACCAATCACTGAGGATAAAAAATATGGCCTGCAGGTCTATACGAGGCGGAAGAGTCGGCCACTTAGTGCCAGCGGACATCGTCACACGATGACGATCGACCCAGATAGTCAATGCCGGTTGACATTCAGATATGGGGACTCGCTGAGTGCTTACGTCATGAACGTTCCTGCGTCAACAACCATCGAAGCCATCATGCAGGATCTGCACAAGGTCTTCTATGTAGAGGATCTCATCCCCTTCAAAGACCATCAGGACTCCGAGATTCTGGCATCGGTGTTGAAAGAACCTGTAGCTGTTTTCACTCTCAAGCCCAGTCTTCATTGCCTTCAGGAAAGGCTACCTCTCCAAAACGCAAGTTCATCACAGCCTCACAAAGATAAGCTCAGTAACGCAAGAGGACACATACAGCTCCTTTTTGGACTGGAAGCTAGTAGGAACATTCCTTTCACGAAAACCACACCTGTGACGAAGACATTGAGAGAGTGGCTCGTGGAGGGATTTCAGGACGTGAATGCAAGATTCCATCTCAAGTCCTTCGTTTGGAAAGGCTTCACAGATGAGGAGCAGGACCTGAGCTTCGCCGAAGTCGGTGCCGTGGCAGGCAAGGTGTACAGGATCACGGTGGTGGAAAAACCATGGAAACCAGACTATTTGGGAAAATGGGAGGTGAGTACATCGTCGCAGCAGTGGACGAAGCTCGCAGCTCTCTAGGACGCGGACGCGTTTCGAACGTTGCAGTTCAAGTAACCTCTTCACGATTGACTTCCTCTTTTCTCCCTACATTAGCGTTTCCTCGTTCGCAGATCATACCCAGAGAGAGCACAGAAGAGCCCAAGCAGGGTGCAGATGGGTCCAAGCGGAGCGCAGAGGAACCCCCTCCTGTGAGTCTACAATCTACGGCCTCGTCGTGTGCTAGATGAGGTCTGTCGAAGCACACGGCAAACTCTCTCAGCTTCTTCAGCGTGCTTCAAAAGGCGTGTCTGCTCGATCGCTGGATAGCAGACAGTATGCTAGTCGACCGAATCTGTTTACGAGTATGATCTGACTGAGTCGGATCATCGCAGGGAGGAGGCTCTTCTACGAAAAGGTCAAAGCCGAGCGAAGATGGTGAAGCAGAAGCCAGGCTAGCGAAGGAGGGCGAGGCACAGCGTGACGGTGTGGGCGGGGTAGAGAATGATCAAATGTCGCAGAAGGGGCAGGGGGGCAATCGGACGCCACAAGAGGGCGGGAGCAAGCAGACGCCGAAGGAGGGACAGGGCAGCACGAGCAAGGAGAAGCCGCCAAAAGAGCCGGGAGGCAAGCAGACTCCGCAGGAGGGCCAGGGACAATGCGGCGGGAACGAGAAGACTCCGAAGGAGGGGCAGGGGGGCAAGACGCCGGAGGAGGGGCAGGACCGTTATGACCAAGCGACTCGGAGGGCCTTGATCCCACCTGACCAGGCAGCGAAGTCGGCACGTCTACCAGGTTGGGGGACGAGAGCGACGACCGCAGAAGAACGCGATGAGGGGTTAGCTGCCCAGAGGCAGGCACCCGAGGAGACGGCGAAGGAGGTGCAGGGCGGTGGGATCGGGAAGATTCCACTGCAGGAGCAAACGCGGCGAAAGGAGAGCTTGGGGCTAGGGGAGTTGAGCGAGGAGAGGGGCGAGAAGCAGGACAAGGCCGACGAGGAGTCGTCGAGCTGCGCAGACGGGGGGCGATTCCGGATTCAGGAGACAGGCGGAACTGGAGGACAGGATACGGGTAGGGTGCAACGCCAGGACACGAGCGAGATAAGGCCGCTGACCATCATCGGCGAGTATGGTCTGAAACATAGTCTCGGAGTCAAACCTGCGACGACCGTGCAAACGTGCGTAGACGCGTTTATAGGAAGGTACAGGCGTCACGGCAACGTGGAGTGCAATCCAGCTGCATACAGCTTGTCTGTGGATGAGCAACCCGTCTATCTAAAGACTAGGATTTGGAACTACTGTGAAGATGGTGAAGCGATTCTGCATCTGAACATACGACAGACAGGGGGTTGAAAGGGGTTTAGTACGCCATACCGTGGCGTCTCCTGGAACCCATGTCCTGATAGAGAGACCTGGCGAACTCTACCTGGTCGTTGCAGACCGCGGTGACTGGATTCGTGTAGAATTGTCTAGCGCTAGATTCCTTCTCGTACAGATCGTCCACGTTCCTGTACAGATTCTTGTAAAACTTGCTGTCTATCTCTTCTTGCACGTCCTCTGGATCGCAGGCCGGCGGCCTATCTGGGTCGTCAAAGTCGGTGACCATGAAATTCCCGAAAGGGTTATCGTCCGTCGGCATCCTGCATTCTCTGCCGTCCCGTCCCTCCGCTACTGCATACGCCTTTTCCACTCTCTGCCGCGTAGTGCTGCGTGCTTTCGACTCGCCGAACAACACGAAGAGTAATAGCGTAGCGATATACGCCATGCACATGAAGCCATCTAATTGCCACAGGAAGCATCCTATCAACACGTATATGACGAATCTGCACGCCGAGTTTATCCTTTCTGCGACCGTATCTCCGCAGAATGGTCTGAATTTTAAAAAGTTTCGGTCCCTATACAATACACCAAAGTCGCAGAAGAACGGTGCCTCCTTAACGGCCGACATGTCGCTGATACAATGGCCAGAGCTTTTTGTGCGACGCGCACGATCGCTACCTGTTGATGCAACAGCAAACGGTGCAGAGCGTGGTTACCATGATGGCCAGACTGGTCGCGCAATAAGCACCGGCCCCTATGACATACGCTTTGTAACCTTCCCACAGCAGGTGAACGGATTCATGCGTCAACTCATGTGCAAAGTCGCTGGAGTTGAATACTGGATACATTCTTACATACATACGGAGGACTAGATTATCTAGTGGACTGGCGTCACTCTATGCTTATCAAACAGCGTCCTGGTCCGTCCGTATCCACTCGCAGGTCTGCGTCCGAAAGTTGGATCATACAATCGGAGCCGATGGTCACTTCTCTTTCGGGAGACTTCCTCTTACGCTTACGGCTCTCCATCTTTGCGATCAACTCCACCCCTCCGTTGGCCCTGTGATATAGGACTTGTTTCCAAAAGTCTTCTGCTACCGGCAGAATCTTTTCGAACCATGCGTCGTCCCTAGGCACGTCCAAGACCGAAAACTCCTCCTTCTGCCACAGCGACTCGGGTCTGTACTGCACGAAGAAACAGCGCTCCGCCTGACAGATCTGCATACAGAGCTGTATCTGTGGAAAGTAATACGAAGGCACCTCGTCCTTGATATCTTTGATCAACGGACACTTGATCTCCAAGATCGCGAACCGGCTCCCGTCGTGCGACGACAGCAGGCCGTCCGGGCTCCCCCCTAAGAAATCTATGGTCGGGTGCCTCAAGAGACCGGCATCAAAGTGCCTCCAACCGTACTGCTTGCAAAACTTCTCGACCACGGTATCTTCGAGAGCCGCCCCATACTCCGTACAAGCATTACCGGTGAACACCGGACCCAGCCCGCACTTTTTCAACAACAGGTTGTAAGGCCTCTCGTAGGGGTTCTCCCCTATGGCAGCGGCCAAGTCGCTGGCCGTCAGCATCTGCTTCCTCATCTCGTACCAGGGCTCGGTCCTCTGAGGCGGCTGAGGCAACGAGAGCAGCTCCTTGACCTTGGGATGCACGGAAGGGTCGTCCATGACAGCCTCCATGGTCTCTGATTCCCTCCGTAGGCACGGCCGCCCTATATCGAAGATTCCCCTTTTGCAGAATCTGACAAAGACAGATTCCGAGAAGCGGACTCACTCCCTATATCACAGGGCTACGATGTTTTCTTTTCAAGAGAAGGAGACCCCTCCGACGGTGAAGGTGGGCATCAGCTTCTCGAGCAGGAAGGACACGACCGCAGCGGTCACCGCGATGACCATGACCTCGTGCATGTCAATGACCGCCCCGTAAGCAGGTACGTACTTCACCGCCAGACCGATAAGCGCTCCCTCGATCAGGTAGTGGATCGCTACCCTCAAGAACGTCTTGAGGGTACACCAAGGCCTCGGCGAAGATCTATAGTAACCCCTAACGACGGGAGTCGCCTGTCCGCCATCGTTGCCAGAAACGTCGGCTCCCAGATAATCCATTCAGGTGTCGCTATGGTATATGTTACATCCGAGAAAAAATCTGCAGCCCCGTCTTGCGGGTGAAAGCCTCTGAAAATTCCCTGAGCTCAGATCAAAGACCGCATCCCCATGGCTGAGACCAAGCCGGTATATCTGGACGAAGACCCGATCAAGGTCCCAGGCTGCAAGTATGTCCTCCTCTCCTTCGTCTCCCCCGTAAGCAACGTGAAGAGCGACAAGATCGGACTCAAGGTGCGGGGCGTCTTCGACGACATGGACACGGCGCGCGCCCACCTACGCCGCCTAATGGAATTGGACCCAGCCTTTGATATCTTCGTGGCCGACTGCCACCGTTGGCTGCTGATCCCACCTAAGCCCTCGGATCTAGACAACGTGGAGTACAGCGACCAGATGTTGCAGCAGCTAGTACAGACACACAAGGAAGAGCAGCTGAGAGCTAAGGCGGCTTTCGAGACTTACAAAGATGAGATGATGAAGAAAGGCACCAGCAGTCTACAGGAGGACCTAGAAAAAGACGTTTCTCGGGATTGTACCATAGACGAAAATCTGGAAGAGTAGGATGGATGCCGAAGAAGGCCCTAAAGACGATATGTGCCTGCTCTGTTTAGACGAGTTGTCCGAGTCATCTCACGTGATCATCTGCACGAAAGGTTGCAGCGTGCACCTTTGCCCTGCATGCGTATGTGATGCATATATGTATGGCAAATGCCTGTACTGCAAGGAGCTCGTAGATAGGATACTAGATCACGAAGGGAAAGCCATCGGCGTCACGTGTCCGAAATGTCAGGCACGAGCGCTGAAGATGATGGGTCTGCTCATAGTAGCTAAAGCGCTGATGCACATACTTCTTTTTTGACGGCCATGTTGTAAGTACCGAATGGAAGATCCGAACCAACTGCAATACGAACTCCTGACTCTGAGAAGGGCCGTAGACGAGCTGCAAGGTTCCGGACTAAGGAGCATCGCGCGCACCCTGGGAGCCGTCCTCATCCTGTCCGGACTCATCATGGTGATCTTCCGTTGGATGACCGACGCGCAAATGGCGCGCTTCGAGAGAGACTGGAACGCAAAGCTTCAGACGGCGGCGCTTACGAAAACTGCACCAGACGAACCGGAGGTGGACGCCCCCAAAGCGGCGATGAGGGCGGCCAGGGCCGCATTGAAAGCTGCCCAACAGTGCAGGGAGAAGGTGGTCATCAAGTATCTCCCGACGCTGGACATGTACTACCCAGATCCCAACAAGCGACCCCTCCTAGGGGCCTACGTCCTCGGGAACATGTTTAACGCGGCTTCGCCGCACCCTACCACCCCTCCACCGTCTGCCAGCGACCTGGCGAATCCGAATGAGGCCAACCGGGTTACTTGGAAAGGGCTGTCGAAGCGTACCGTCTGAGCGCCTATGAATTATCTCTTTAGTGTCTTCAGGAGATGATGGGAACCGTCATCGGTCCGAGTCCGGGAGCTGTATTGCAGTTGGCACTACAAGGTCCGGAAGATTCCAATCTGTTCCTCAACCCCGAGGTGTCCCTCTTCGGATGCGGCAGTTCCCTGCTCATGAGACCTCCCGACGTCCAGAGGACGCCTATGGAGGATCCGTTCGAAACTTCACCGGCGCCCGCTTTCTACGACCAGGAGTCTCCGGCCATACCTGCCAACACGGTCTCGCTGTGCAAGCTCTCCAAATCCGGCAGCGTGATCGGGATGTGTCACCTGGAGATCATACTTCCTGCAACTTTCGATGACCTCCAACCGATCACATACGTTCCCGATTGCATGCTGCGGGGGATAGAGTACGTCGGGTTCACCATAGCGGGGCTCGAGATCGAGAGGTTCTCCAGCCAGATGCTAGAGTGCTACTTCAAGTATTTCGATCCGAAGCTCGCGGGCGACTCGAACGCTTTCCACGAGATATTCAGCGGCCACGACACGCCGCTGGGAAGGTCGTTCACTATACCCCTGCCTTTCTTCTTCTCAAGGCAGGTCCTCGGACCGAAGCTGCCAGTGGCTGCACTCTCTTCCATGGACGTGTCCGTCTCCTTGTCGCTCGGCAACATAAGAAACATCATGCTGCCAAAGGCCGACGGCTCTTACCCGGTCTCCATGAGCCCGGTGTCGGCAAAGATCGTCGCCGAACGCTTCGATCTTCCGGCGAGCGACCTGACGACAGCTTTTTTCAGTTCCGCTCAGCAGACGCAGCTGATCATGCAGATAAGATCGCAACAGATCGACGTGAAGCCTGACACGAACGGGAATCAGTCCGTCCTCTTGCACTTCAATCAACCCACGCGGCGGCTCGTCTGGTTCGTCGCCAATCCACAGGGGAACATCATGCAGAGACCATTCGCAGCATGCTCTCTGACGCTCAACAACGTCGACGTCCTGTCCAGAGGGCCTCGTGCGCACGACGGTTCGGACGGCAACGACGAGGCCTACTTTCGCTTGGTCAGCCCATATCTGTACAGCGGGGTCCACGGCAGCCAGACGGGTTTGCATCAGTATAGCTTCTGCCTGCAGAACCACTACACCATTTCTGGCCCCGGAATGTTTGCGAAGAAGAAGCCCCTGCTGTACCCGATCGAGCCCAAGTGGAAGCCCAGCGACGACGGCCTGTATCTGTTGAGCTTTCAGCCCAACGGCAACTTCGACCTGAGTCGACCAACTACCTCAAGCTGCGCTTTCAGAATCCCTTTCCCCTGGGCGGGAGCACCATTCACGTGATAGCAGAGACCTATAACCTCTTCCGCTTCTCCAACGGCAAGTTCAGCCTCGATCACATATGATTTACCGTGCAAAATCGGCGTCCGAGTCTCCCACAACCCTAAAACCCTACAACCCTGAAGATCTCGATATTTATGTCATTTAGGGTTTTTATATGTCATGGGGGTTTAGGGTGTTTCGGCTCCGATATACCGAACCCTAACAAAGCCACCGTACGGACGCTCAACATTTGATTCCACGTGGCATGCATGCAACAAACGAAAATTCAACTGCTCACGTGAACTGGCAACGGTTTCTCTGTCTTTCGGACGCCATGTTCACGCGAGCCAGAGGCTACTGACAGACTCACGCATACGAACCCCTGATACACAGCCTCTCGAGGTTTCATGTCTGCAGCCAGAAAATGTCTCCCATAAGATGCTGGGAGCTCGCATTTGCACCAAAGCCAGCGCATTCCTCTCGAGATGGCGGCGCCTCTGCCGCACAACATCTTGCAGACACTTCCCACACTGATGAATATGAGAGGGAAGGGTTTCCCGATATTTGTGGATGAGAGGACTGATCCGAACAGGACGACTCCTGATAAGAGGCCCATCGTCACCTACTTCGTCGGCGCAGACATTAAGAATCTCCAGGGAGAGGACGTCCTGTATCCCTGGGAGGAGAACACCGAGGGGAGAGAGGTCGAGACGGCCTACCTTTGCAAGAGAGCCATGAGGCGCCTCTATGATTACAAGGGCTGGAATTATTACGAGGAGGGTGAGAACCTGGACCCCCATCACGATCCGATGGGGGAGCCGGACGTGCCTGGCTTGGGAGAGTTGATCTTCAAGTCCAAGGAGGGCAAGAAGAGGAAGTCCCGTCCGAAGAAACCAAGAGGGTCTCCAAGGAAACCCAGAGGGACCCCTAAGAAAGCCAGACCTTCGCCTCGGCCCTCTTCGGAATCAGAGGAGGAGGGGAGTGCGGATGAAAGGGGTGAGGCCAATGCGAGCTCTGGGAGTGCTGAGGAAGCAGTAGAGCCTCCGAGCTTGACTCAGCTGTTGGGTTTGTCTGTCGAACAGCAACCGATCGGCAACCCAGAGGGGGATACAAATCAGCCCATGGACACCGCGCCTCAGACTTCAACCCTTGACCAAGCACCAGATACGACTGCAGGTCCGGAGATAAGCATGACGTCCACGGAGATCCGTCAAAAGTTTGATGAGGATTTGTCGGGTGTGGATCCCCTCTTCCAGTCCGAAGTGCATTGGTCAGGGCTCTCCGAGGGTTTCACGGATATGCTGATGGGGTCTCCAGGGCTCCCCGTCCAGTCCCAGGAATCAATCCCTGAGCCAGCAGTATTCCCTAGCTCAGTTCAGCCCGAGTCCGGCCCAGTTCAGCTGGAGAGCCCTCGGTCCTCTGAGCCAGCGGTGTTCCCTAGCTCAGCTCAACCCGAGTCCGGCCCAGTTCAGCTGGAGAGCCCTTGGTCCCCTGAGGTATTCCCTAGCTCAGCTCAGCCCTCCCTCGGCTGTTCAGAGCTCCATGGCTCATCTTGGGGAGCGAGCCAGGAGTTACCATCCCCCGGGGAGCTCGCTAGGGAACCGAGCCAGGAGTCACTGTTCACCTGGGGACCGGCCGATTCAGCTCAGCCTCTGCCTGATCTGCCCGAGCACCAGATGTCCCCCGAGTTGTTCCCGGATAACGACAACACTTCGATGTCTGAGTTCCTGCGAAGGTTGGGTGTGGAGCCAGGACCCGAGGCCGAAAGTCCCCAACCGTCGTTCTACGCGCTCCTCGGCCTGGAGAGCGCACTCCTGCACCTGACCCTAGACGCAGAGAGCAAACCTATGAGGAAGCGGGCCGTGAAAGGTGAGCGGTCCTTGCTGTCTCATCCATCCCAAGTCGAGTCTCTCCATCTGCTCGATCGCCGTTCCTTCAGAAGTAGACTTTGGCGAACTAGAGAAGCTCACCAGACGCACTGCCTCACGCAGGTACGCCACTCCCGACGGCAGAGTCGATCCTCCGTGAGATGAGGCGCGAGTTCGAAGACAAGGCGAGTGCACGGAGGGACGCAGAGGTCATTCGCACCGCTCAGGAAACGTTACTCCGAGGGAGTTGCAGTTCAGCCGAGTTACAGAGGCTCCGTGACTTCAACAGGAATAGACGCATGCAATCAGAGACGCAGTGAATTCACGTCCCTCGAACGTGATCCTCCTCTGCCCTTCCGTAGCGTCCATGGTAGCTTTTGCGACGGTGTAGCTCCGCTTAATGTCGTCAGCTTGTAACATAGCCAGCCCCGGTATAGGACTCGTACATAGTAGATCGCCGTTGGTAATCGGACCACCGACGTCGGTGACCCATATGGCACCCTCGCCCCCCGAATTGACGACTATCCTCTCGTCTCCATCTTCTTTCGGCACTCTCACATCTAGGGCACCCGTGCGGTAAAGTCTATGCGTCTCATGATCATCCTCCAATGATGCGAATACTCCGAAGACGGTCTTGTCGCACGCCCTCTCGCTCAACGTCACGATCGGAAGCGCACATGAAACGCCAATGCCTCCGCTGCCTCGCAACACCTTACCGTCCCGCCTGGGGACGGAACTAATCGCCCCCGTCGACACTACCACGCAACCTATCAACGGTATGCCTTGAGGCGTATGCATGCCGTTCTCGTGGATCAGTCTCGACAAGTCCCCAGATATAGCAGTCCTATGCGTGGCCGTGAAATCCATGCCGGGGGCGAGGTCTTGGGTCGTGTCGAAGTACGCTATGGGAGACCCGTCCTTCCGCACGCACAGCCCACTCTCGTCATCGACGTAGACCTGCCAGCTCGTGAGCCCTCTGTTGATCACGAGACCGTCTTGCTGCGCGTCGCTGCCCGCTACGGCCCCCTGGCCGATCTGCATGGCCCCGCGAACGGACACGAAAGGGAAGTTTGAGGTGTTTAGGTTCCCGGTCATGAGTGGCGGCAAGTCGGAGCTGGCACCCAGCGCAAAGTCGTAGGCCAGAGTCTTCTGCTGTCCGACGCCCGCACCGATGTATATGCTGCAGTCTCCCGTCGAGCCGGTCCCGCAAGCCTTTCCGAGGTACGTGCAGTTGCTGCCGGAGGCCTCGAATCCCGCAGCGTGACCCACGGCCGTACAGCCGTCGTTGACGCGCGCGGTGGCATAAGTATCTAGACTCCCGAGAGCGTCCAAGCCGACGCCAACTACGTTCGAGCCCGAGGCATTAGCGAGCGACCTGTTGCCGAGCGCCGTGCACGAAGCTCCGATCAGACCCCTGCCGGAACCGTGTCCCAAGAGCGTCACGTCGTTCCCCAGAGTGGACTTGGTCCCGCTCAAGTGACCGATGGAGAGTATGTCGTTCTGAGTGGTGACCGGGTACGCGGACTGTGCTCCGATGGCCAGTAGATTAGAGGATGTAGAGACGTTGTATGCAGAGAAACTGCCGATAGCGATGCCGGACTGAATGTTCGAGACGTTGAAGAGACTCTGCGCGCCGATGGCTATGATACCGTCTCCGGCTACCGATGCGCTAGTTCTGCCGTAGGCCGACTGATACCCTATGAGGATGGATTGCTTCGTCCCTTTCAGGTTCGTCCCAGCGAAAGCACCTAGCGCCACCGACTTCGAACTGTTTCCCGTATTAGCAAAAGCGTCCGTTCCCAACACGCTATTGTACCATCCCGTTGAGTTGAACTGCAGAGACCGAGCACCTATGCCCACGGACTTACTGACTCCGGTGGCATGCTGCCCCGCAAACAGTCCTATATACACGTCTTCTTCTCCAGAGAGCGTGTCGGCGGCCCCGAGTCCGATCACGACGGAGTTATTGACGGGCCCGCTCGCGTTAGCGTTGGCAGTACTGCCGAGCACGGTATTCCCGCTCCCAAAGGTCTTCTGTCCCGCTCTATATCCCGCATACAAGTTGTTGAGCCCATCGTTGCCTATGCCGGTATCCGCTCCGAGTCCTATGCCAGTTCCACTGGCATCCACGCTGAAGTAGCTGGTCGTAGCGCCAGGCATGCGGCCCGTGAATGTCCTGTTCGCGCCTACATTGTCGAAGCTCGAACTCATATCTTATCCGTCTTCCTCCTGCTTTGGAGCCTCGAAAATAGTGATCGTCTTCGCAGCAGCCCAATCGCACACCGCTCTGATCGGATCACTCTCTGCATTTCGCTTGGAAATCGTACTCGAGTTTCATCCTGTTTGGTGCGTTACCAGCTGCCTCGTGAGCGAAACGCAAGGTCATGGACGAATTGTGTGCACCGTTCTTCGAGAGAGGGTTCATCAGAGCGAGCATCACGAAGCGAGATTTTGGTTGTTCGCTCCCATCTAAGCCATTCAGAGCGTTCAGTATGGAGAGCATCCCGATCGTATCTCTGCCGAAGCGAGTTTCTGAACCCAACGCGCGCAGAGCTGCCACCTTCTCCGTCTGATTAGTCCGCGCCACGGCCGTAGTTACCATGGTTTCTTCGAGCATATCGCCGGTCAGGATGGTCCAGTTCGGGTCATACAGATAGGCTCTACTGCTCTCACGCAGACTGCTGCAACTCATCGGATACACGTTACTGCGATCGTGTACGTACTTTCCCCCAGACTCTTCCGCTTTTTTGCTCCTGAAGAAATATTTCAAGTGATTCAGCGTCTCGTTGATGAAGAAGCCCTCGTTTCGTAGATCGTCCAGAGGCTGTTGTTTGGGAGTACCGCGGAGATATGAGAAGATCTTATCCTTCCTGTATTGTTCCGAAGTGTCCGGTCTCACGAGGACGGTCTCCGCGATCTCCATCGGGTTCTCTATGCCGGCCATGTCGCAGAACGTCAAGTATCCGTTTCTACCCGTGGACCCGTTCCGGACCCTGAATACGAGGAAGAGATGACTGCGCGAGGACTGCGGGTTATTCGGGGTGCATTTGATTCGCCCCCTCGCGAGTCTATCCTTTGTGATAGTCTCCACGAATCCATCCAACCTGTCCACGGCGAACTCACCAGGCGGTACAGAATGCGTCAACACCGAGGATTCCGTGCAAGGTCTCGAGAGGATCTTCGACCTCGCTTGCTGGGGGTTCGGGGTCTTGTCTCGATCGTAGAATTGCGTGAGATCGATCTTGCCATACAATTCAAAGGCCAGCTCCAGATGTACTGCGTTGTTCGGATCCTTCGCTTTTATGCTACTCATGCACCTCTTCAAGAGGCCCTCGTCTCCGGGCCGCCCGAATATACAGGTGGTCTTCCCTGAGCCGGAATAGCCGTAAGCGAACGCAATCACCGATCTGCCCTCGAGCGTCGAGAGGGCCATGCTCTCGAAAGTCTCTCCAGCGCCTCCTTCAAAGACGTCCTGGGTCGAGATCCCTGCATCTCCGGGCAGAGACCTCCTCGGATTGGTCAGCTGCGAATCGACGACCGAGAAAAACTCTCCGAAAGTCTGCTCCCCCACTTTTGTGTTCAATCTTTTGTACCCTCCCAAAGTGATGTGCCTCTCGTCGCTCCTAATTTCCCCCGGCTTCGTCGAGCCCGACTCTCTGACCTCACCCGGACGTATCCACCACTGACACTCCTTCAGATCGGCAAATCTCGTCGGAGGGACGGACAAGCGGTTGACGACGGCATACACGAACACCGCTCCTTGCAACTCCACACGGAATTTCAGGCACGAACGGCCCAGGTCTTCGTAGAGGTTCAGAGCTAAGATACCTACGGAACTCCCTTCTGACAAGATGTTCTCTATCTCCCTCTTGTTCCTCTCGAGAGTTTCTCGGATCCAAGCCTCGGCGTAATCCTGAGCCGTAGAATCCGTCTTCCCCAGCAGTCTACCCAACCGCAACAGCCGCTTGTTTCGCGCGTTGGGCATGGCCAGTAAGTTGAGGAGTGCATTCATGGACGCGAGCGCGCTCTGGAGCTTGAGCCTCGGGAACTCAGGCTCGGGCGCTTCTGGCTGCCTATCACCGTTCAGTTGCCGTCGTTGCAATGCCTCTTCGAGCCTCTTGCGAAGGTCGTCGATCACGGGTTGAGTTCTATCTTTGAATTCCCTGAGGAAAGCAGCTTCCCTGCCGACGTTCTCTGCGAGCTTCCTTTCGTATTCGCTCCTGCAGCGCATGACACCACGGACCGCGTCGGAGGCCTCCTCTTCCAGTTCATTGATCTCTTCGGCGTCGAGCTGAGATGCTACATCCTGCAGCTGCTGCCATGTTCCCACGGTATGATCATCGTTCTTCAATCCGTGCATGACTGCGTCGCATTTGGCTTGAAGAGCACCTATCCTCGAAAGGAGACTGGATACGCGCAATCGCAGTTCGTCCCCTGAGCAGACCTCTATGCCAGCTCGTACGTCTTCGAAACCCAACAGCTTGCGAAACGCTTCCAAGCGCATCCAATATGTATGTGCATCGCGGGTATGCAACGCCCTGAATTCCATCGAAAAGTCTCTGACCGACCTGGAGAGGTCGGCCAACTCCCGTGCCGTCACGTTTGCACCCCTACCCTGATACTCTACCTCAGGTCTCGTACCGTTCTTCCACAGGTCGTGCACCGCTCTGGTCACGGTGTTCAACGCGTTCTGAGTCGACGCCAATCGAGCCTCATACTCGGTTCTCTGTCTCGCCGCCGTCTCTCCCAGCGATTTCATGGTAGCATTCCGTTCGTTCAGTTGCTTTCGTAGGCCATCCTCTGCCTCCTTTGCTGACCTCAACGCCCCCTGTATATTCAGGACCTGACGCTCGAGTTCCGCTTTCTCGCTCGTGAGTCGATCCGCATCGGAGCCCCTCGTCGATAATTCCACGCCCTTCTGCTCGAGGTTACGCCTCAAACGTTCTTCGATCGCGGCCAAGTCCTCCACCCGCTTGACTCGCTCCGCCAGCTCCGTCTGCGCGCTCTGCAACTCTTCTTGGTACTTCCCGCTCGAGGATCTAGCCATCCCCAGTTCTCCTTCCAACCTAGCTCTGTTCGACCTCGCGGTCGTCAAGTTTTTCTCCTTTGCTAACATCTCTTCCATCGACCGTCTCTCTGCCGCTTCCAGTTGAGATACGCGCGAGCTATGAGATGCTATGGTACGTTCCTGAGCCGCCACTCGCGACTGCAGTTCGACTCCCCTGCTCTGCGCGGCCAGAAGCCCGACGTGCACGACCGCCAACTGCCGCTGGAGCTCCTCCTTCTCCTGCCTGAGAGGTTCCAGATTCGCTCCCACCCTCGCAGCGTTCGCCAGCTCTTCTTCCTTCGCCCTCAACCGGCCCGCCAGTGCAGATCTTTCGCTAGTGAGCCCCGCTATGGTGCC